AAAATCGACTCTGTTCTCTGATTGGCCCAGGTAAAATAAACTACAAGCAGACACTGCACAGAAAATCGACTCTGTTCTCTGATTGGCCCAGGTAAAATAAACTACAAGCAGACACTGCACAGAAAATCGACTCTGTTCTCTGATTGGCCCAGGTAAAATAAACTACAAGCAGACACTGCACAGAAAATCGACTCTGTTCTCTGATTGGCCCAGGTAAAATAAACTACAAGCAGACACTGCACAGAAAATCGACGTTCTGTTTTCTGATTGGCCCGGCTAAAATTCTGCCAGCGAAAGCCTTGTCTATGGGAGAAATCCCAGACGGAGCAGAGAAGGGAAACTAGAATTGAGCGGAGCTGCGTAGGAAGGCAAGGGCCAGGCTAATGATTTCCCCTCTTGTCCGAAAAGTGAATATTTCAGTATCGACGATCTAAAGTTCAGAACGGACAGAAAAATCCATCTCGGCTTGAAATTTTGCAAACAATCCATTAAGTTTGAATGTGCAAGTTGAAAAGGGAAATTTAAAAGGCAAACAAGGTTTTTCTCAGCAAAAATGTGTTTGTGCTAACAAGTMCTTTTTTAACAGTCAGCTGTCTCAAAACTGTTGGCATAAATTAAAAATTTTCAGCCATAAATGATGMGTCATCCTTCAAACGTGTCCTTGAATTTAATTAGATTTTATCAGGCTTCACATGCAGGGAATAAAAGGTACATTCGCGGTCAGGTAAGGCTGTTTCTGAAGGTTTCTGTTTAGTGACAGATTCATGAATGAGTTTTAAATTCACCAGTTTGAGGAAAACCATAAGTAACCACACTTACTGTAGATAAATGGACCTCATTAGATGTTATTTGACATTGATATATGGATGTTCTTTATTTAAGAAATCAGGCTAGAGACCCACTAGATAGAAAACACACACACACAAACACACACACAGTCCCTCTGTGGAATAACACATGCAAGGGCAGTGAAGGACAACACATGTCACCTTCACAGGTGATTTCTGCTGTTGTCCAGAAACAAAACTCTGCACACAAACAGACTCATAAATACATGCAGAGGCAGAGCCAAGAGGGGTCTGTGGGGTGACCATGCCCACTTAACCTTGGCCACCCCACAGGCCACCCAACACAATACAAAATTCCATTATATTATCAGAACTRCATCAAGAGAAGCAACACAATCTACACAAAAGTATTTCAAAACTGTGGCAATCTAAAGCACTAAAAGAATAATTAGAAAGATTAGTAAAATATGAATATATTTAACTTASAGGCTAAATTACAGATGAAACAAAAAGAAAATATTAAATCAGAAACCTTTAAGTCCTCCAAAAATAACTGCATATTCCCCAAAGCTTAACCAGAAGAATACTCCTCTATGGTTTCAATAAGAGTGCTGAAAAGAAGTTGTCTCAGTCTGACCACTCGTGTGAGGTTTTCTGGCTCCTGTTCTGCAGATTTATTAAAGAACAAAAAGTGTGCAAACGTCTCCCAGAGAAAACCACTCAGCCTAATGATGTTAACRTGGGAACAGGTGACCTGTGGGTGCTGAACATGGACGCTGATATTTCCACACTTGTCAATCGCATGGCTCGATTACGATGGTAATCTGTTGGGACGCTCTCACAGCTGCGGCCTCTGCACCGCCATAAACGCACACAAACACACACAAGTACACACAAACACACACAAGTACACAGAGAAGCAGGCAGAAACACATACGCTGCGAGCAAACCCCTTTCAGCTCAGGGGTTGTTTTAACTCAGCAGGGTTTTATCAGTTTACCCTTTTTTTTAACGTTAAATTTGGGTCATTTGTTAAAAGAGTTAACTGAACAGGAACACTCTAAAATCTAGATTATTAAATAACAAATTATGTTACTTCAGCAAACTGTCCGCAAACAAATATTTAAAACGTTTTGTATGTAAACATTAATTTTCTTACATTTTTACATTTTAACCTCACTGGGATGTAAACCCTGTAATGTTGCACATTAACACAAATACAAAAAAAAGAAAGAAAATGAATAAACAGATAATTTTTAGTTCCAAAATCTGACAATGCAGCTCAAGAATTTGTCTTAAACGTGTAAATGTAAGATGTGAGCAAAGTAGCATTGCTAAAGAAAATAACGACACTTCCTGCCGAAATGAATAACAAAATAAAAGTTCTATAAAATACTTTAAYCATACTACAAAAATGAGATTGAGATTTCAACATATTCGGCACTAATGAAATCTGCTTGTTTTCATATTATTGTTATAAATTCTTCCAGCTTTCATTAGTGGGGTGCTGCAGCACCCTCAGCATCCTTACTTCCCACATCACTCAGGATGCTCCGAGTCCGACCTACAAAACCTGACAACAGCACCTGATCCCCCTGCRGGTTTTCGGTTTCAGCTTGTCTAAATGTGACCAAATCGTTGTGACAAGATCCAGCCGGGCGCGCGGAGGTTCATCTGCACAACAAGGCGGGGGGGCAGAGGAGCCACAGACCTGTTTCTCCAATGATACCCACCCTCCTCCTCCTCCCACCACACACCCACACCACCACCACCACACCACTGAAGGAGACAGAGGCATGCAGGTTATTGTGCCTGACACAGTGCGTGGCTGTGCGTGCGCGTGGGMATCAATAGAGCCTGTTTAATTAGACAACGTGCCAGCTGTGATWGGTTAAAATGCGGACCTGCTTTGTTATTGAAAAAGAAACCTTCTGGGATGAACTCAAAACAGTTGGAATGTCACTTTAATTATCAACCTGATTTAATAAAACGTGTG